TCCGCCGAATCCCGCGAACGCCCCTCCGCCAGCCCCCATACGTGCGCCAAGGCTTTGGGTCTCATCCGCATAATGAAGCGCGCCAAACGCTCGCCGCTTCAGCGACCACTCCGCGCTGCTGGCGGAGGGCCCAGCCGAGGCGGAACTCCCCGCGGCGGAAGCCATGGCAGAAGCCCCCGCGGAAGAACCGCTGGAAGCAGAAAAAGCCACTTGCGGGGGAGAAAACGCCGTAGTTCCGCTGGTGCTTGCGACGTCGACACTGCAGGTCCGTGACCGTTTCCTTCTAGATTCGTCAGGCGAGGCCTCGTTGCTGTCACACTCGGATCTAGTACGCTTGGATGGAGTCGCCGCCGCGGCTGCCTTCGACGGAGAGCTTCCGGAATCTTGTTTCAACCCGGTCAGGTATTGCAGAGCGCGAAGCTGAAGGCGCTTCGAGCTTTGTTCCTCCTTCCCCGTGGGACTAACGGCTCCCACTCTGAGGAGGTTAGCGCCGCCGATGCTGAGCCCCGATTGGCCGAATCGTTGCTGAAGTCGACTAATTCCATTCGATGCTGTAGCGCGGCTCGCTTCAAGCTGCTGCTGCTGTTGCTGTTGCTGCAAGGTTGAGACGAGGCCACTGCTGCCCGCTGATCGGCTAGAGGGAGGACGCGGGGGTAAAGAAGGCACGGCTGCGCGAGCAGCGGAAGGAGTAACGGATGTAGTAGAAGAGGAAGCTGAAGCAGTCGGGAGCACCGACGAGAGAGGTCCGGCTGTAGCGGCAAATCGGGCCAGACCAGCTCGCTGAAACGTCGCCTTGAGCCTCTCCGCAGCGCCCAGCGACGACAGCGACGATAGTACCGACGACGGCGACGACGGCGACGACGGCCCTGCGACGACCCCTTTCGGCGGCGCCGCCGGTGGCGACGACGACACCCGGTTACCAGCAACCTTGGCGAAAGGCGATGCGGCGAAGCTCGCGGGGGAGCGGGACGACGGCGGGAGGAGCGTCTGCAGGTGGAATTTGGCGCGCGCGGGGGACTCCCAGACGAGCACGCCGGGGAGCTCGAGCGGAAACTCGTCGTCCGCGCCCCTCCCCGTGACCAGGCTGAGCTGCGTCGTGCCGTCGGGGAAGGCGGAGATGGTGAAGAGGCGCGCGGAGATGAGATTGCCGTCTGCGGGGGGGAAGGGGGATCGGGGGGAGAGGGGGAGTGGGGGAGGAAGACGAGAGAAACGGGGATATTGGAAGATTAACACATGGTTCCGGAAATAGGTTGTTCGCGGGAAGGCAGGAGGGTAGAGGAAAGGAGGAGAGGGGGGTAAGGGTGGGGAAGGGAGGGATCTAGGAGCCGAATCGCGTTTAGAGGCTCGAGAAGCTGATAGCAGCAAACTTACCAAGCCAATCGGGGATGATTCGATAAGCGACAACCGCCATGCGCTCCCATGTGACGTATAGCAGCCCGCCCCGGGGAGCGAGATCTTCCGCGGCCCACACCCCCACCAGAGGACTCAAGGTGTGTAACAGGCGAAACAGGCATTTCGCCGAGTTCGCATGCACGAGCCACTCGCTGAGCGCCAGCTGGCCCTCCCACTTCCGGCAGAGAGTCAGCCACGTGTTGGGCTGGTCGATGAGCCCGTGCAGGGTGCGACACGTCAGCGAGGCGGCGATGAGATCTTTGGGTTTCAAGCGGTGGAGAATGGTGCAGATGGTGTCGAGGGGTAAATCCAAGAGCCCAGTGCCGCTGATGGGGGTGCTGCTAGTAGCAGCAGCAGAACAAGACGCAGCGCCGCCGTGCTGGTGAGTAGCAGCAGCTTTAGGGAAAGCTGGAATCGTCATGGTTGTGTGCTCCAATCTCCAGACAAAGCCGCCTCAATTCCTCTATAACTCAACAACTGATGAACTCTTCAGTGCTTCTTGCTGACAGCTACTACAGAATCGGAACTTGAGTGGCTATGACGGATGGAATTGAGATAATATATCCTAGGTCTCTCCCCTCGAAGAGAGAGAGATGGAGAGTGATATCGAGTGAGAAAGGAAAAGGGGACTTCTAGAAAGGGTAAAAGCTGCTGAGGTTTAGGGATGTAATGAACAGGCCCAGAAATATCTTTAAGGGTCAATCGCGGAGAACCAGGAGGTACGCGAGTCCGGCTTCTACTGCTATTGCGCTTTGCGCACTTGGAGCTTAGCGCGGGTCTAGGAAGTGTTGCGTACGACTTTGCTTAGAAACCGCTAACTAACGACGAGATAACCGGCCAGGGCGGCCGACTGGAAGCAGGAATCGAGTCGACGGACCAAAGCTTCGGTCCAAGTGGCGCTACTGGTTCTGGCTGGCAATTAATAACGACCGCTAAAATATCTTATAGGTCTATGATCACACATGTCGACCACATGCGTTTCGCGTAAGTTGGTGCACTAGTAAGGCTGAAAAGAACGGATTTGGCATCAAATAATGTGCTCCGTTCGTTCGCGACCCAGCAGTGCCGACAGCTGGACGAGTTGCTCGACATGCCTTCGCCACGCGTGTGGGCGACGGCGTGCGATATCTCTCGAGATTCGCGCGATGCAGGGATGACACAACGCGTCGACGACATGACGCCGATCGAATGTACGGGACCTGAACTCCTGGGGCGAGTGGTATTCTAAGCTGTAGGAGTATCCAAGAGGCTGAGCGGCTTGGGCTGTGAGCTGGGGGTCCTATCCTGGGGGTCCAGTGAAGCGGCACTGCATGAAACAACACACACAAGACATGAAAGGAGAGGAAGGGAGGAATTGACGAGGCGAAACGCTTGAGGGGACTCTTTCTGACAAGAACGAGCAGGGGGGGTCAGGTCAGGGGGTTGGTGGTGAAATGAGGTTAGGAAATATTGTGAGGCACTGTACAGTGTTGAACTGTTCTGTTTTGTAGATCCAAGGGACGTGCGACGCGAATCGTGAATGGTGGTGATCAGTGAAAAGGGAGCTGGCCGCAATTTAGAGCCAGAGGGAGGGAGGTAGCCCTTGGTTGCCCAGGCCATCCAACCTTTGTCTCCCTTCCTTCTGGAAAGGAGTATAGTGTTGTAGTACAGTGCACGTACTTGGCGCAAAACTAGTTCAAGAAAAAAAAAATACTTTGAAGTGGAGAAAAGCGTCGGTTGGAAGGTTTTTCTGCAAGTTTTTCAAAGCTGCCCAAGGCAAGCCCGAACATTCATGGCCAAGTACAGCAGCAAGAGCTAGCAGTAGCTGCTTGCTGTTCCTGCTGCGCTCCAAAAGACTCAGGGGATTCCACTCAACGCACTTCTTCCCCGACCCACTCTTTTCCCCGTGAGAGGAGCCACAGAGCAACACGGCGAAGTGCAAAACATCGTGCTGGGCGAACATGCGCGAAAACGCGTTGAGAGCACCGCGAAAGCTGAATGTGGATGCATGAAGGCAGAGGACAACTCAGGGATGTTCTTCGCCTCGCAGATCCACTTCCGCATTCGTTGCTGCGTTACAGCGCATCACTACACCTGCTTCCATGATGAGTCAGGACCCCAGTACAGTCGATACTCAGACTATCATAAAACATTCGCTCCTCACAATTAGAAATCTAGTCACTCGCGAACGTTTTGCCCTTGAGTGAATAAGGCGTTCGACATGAACAACGGCGGTCGCCGTCATCAGATAAGTTCACCTGGTTACGAAATTAAGACCCTTGACTCAATTCACGTTGCAATTTCTTATCACTGTCACATTTTTGCCCGTGACGACAAGGGCGAATATGGCGAAACGCCCTTAACACGTTTCACGCACATGCCGCCCGCCTACCTGATGTTCTTGAAATGGGCATCGACTGCACTTGTTGAATCTAGTCGTTGTTCAATCAGCCGTCCCCCTCCATCCCAAGATGCCCCGCCCGTCCCGTTGTCCCTGGCAACAAAGGGTGATGTGAACAATATATTCTTATCATGACAAGTTCGCACGCGCAGGTCAACTTCCCAATCAGCTGACCAGAAATGTTTACAGTACTGGCTCACAGCAACTAGATTCGAGTCGCTCTGAACGAAGATAAGCTCTCGCGCAACATCCATCAAATGGATTCGGCCTTCACAGGTTCACCCTCCCTCGGGTTCATCTCCCTTCAAAACAGGGCAGCATCCGTGCATTTCATTCACCGTTCATTCCAAATCTTCCAGATGGCGTGCGCTGGTTAGCTAAATTGGCAACCTCACGATTGTTACAGCCACGTCGACGAGTCAACCCGTAGAAAGCGATAAATCCCCAGAAGAAGGTGGACCTGAATACAGCATCCAAACAAAGCCCCTTTCTGCTAATGAGTGCGCTTCATTCTATTATAACAAACATTATGCATAGCATACTTTTCAACAAAAAAGTTTTCACAATGGTAATTGAAGAATTCTGCCCATGATGTTGGATAAACACGCTGTAGTTTAAGATTGAACTGGTAGACAGCGATTATTTTCGTCCAAACATGGTACAATTACTAAGTGCCCATGCGATGTTGCCAAGGTGTGTATACGAAAACACATGGATGCTGTTGGGCTGAGAACCAACATTATGCTTTATCGATTTCAACCTGATTGAACGCCTGATTTCCTTAAGGGCGCACACCAGGTGGTGTTATGGTTGAGGGAGTGTAGCATTCCATGTAATCGTTACTAATCAGGCATGCACTATTTTCACATGGATGGCGGAAAGCCATGATACCAGTACTTGCATCTTGACAAAAAAAAGCCAATCATGATCATGTTGCCTGCGAAAGTAATGAATCATGATCCGTCTGTAATGTATCATGCACAATACCGAGCTGCTGGCGATTAAACGATCAAGATAACCAGACTGGACTCGGGCGCTTGAGATGTTTCTAGCTCTGGCGGTGCACAACACAACACCTGCCAATCCACTTTCCATGCATCGACATTTAATCGTGCGAGAATGCACTAACCACAATGCACACGATTTGATAACAGCATGAAAGGACAACTTGTGTGCCCGATGGGGAAAGGAAGCCAATGTTACGCCTAAGAATTAAACCTTACCTGCATCACTCCTCCCACTCGTCATTGTTTGAAGCTTTCCTGTTCCCCTCACCCACTTTGTCCCCCTCCCCCACTTTATCCGCCTCATCGTTCCAGAGCTCCTCGGGCTCTAGAAAGGGCCGGCTGTCTCCGACCCAGTAGCCATAGTAGTCCAGTATCCGAACCTGCGCGTGTATGTGAAGGCACGGCATGACAAACAATCGGAAACACAGACAAGCAACTGTGCCCCCCAGTTCCAGAGCTCCTCGGGTTCTAAAAAGGGCCGGCCCTTTCCGACCCAATAGCAGTTAGTCAAGTATGCATACCTGCATGTGCATGTGCTTGTGAAGACAGGAAAAAGGCACAGTGTGATGAAACAATGTGTTTTTTGAGTCGACTAAAATAACACTCCGATCCTATAGCTGTGGTAGTCCAAAATGTGCACCCGTGAGTGCATGTGTGGGCAGAAAAAAGGCAGAGTATGAAGAAACAATGGAAAAGTCACACACCACTTCTCTCCAACAAGTATGCGAACCTGCGCGTGCATGTACGGGCAGGAAAAAACGACTGGAGGTGTTGGCAAGTTGAATAAAGTTAAAAACGAGCAGGCTTAAAACGGAGCCATCTCCTCACCTGGGGTGACGTTTTGACCTCACCTGGGGTTTTATAAGAGAGAGTGCTTGGAAGTCTATTGGGGTTATGTGCTGGTCGAACAAGCCAGTACTCACATCGATGCGCCATGGGTTGCTGCTGTTAGAGGAGCACATCCAATCCCCTTTTAGGCCGGAACCTTACCACCACACCTAGGGTGACGTTATGAACCTCACCAGGAGTTTTACAAAGGAGAGTGCGTGAAAGTCCATTGGAGGTATGTGCCAGTTGAACAAGCCGATGTTCTCCTTGATGTGCCATGGGTTGCTGCTCTTAGGGAGGGCAGACATCCGCCTCAAACGAAAACTTACCACCTCATCAGGAATTTTCACCTCACATGGGGTTCATTGAGTGTATGTGCCAGTCGAACAGACCAATATCCTCTTGGGTTATCACGAGGAGGCCTAAAACGGATCACACAACCTCACCTGGGGTTCGATGAGGGAGAGTGGGAGGAAGTTCATTGGAGGTATGCGCCAGTCGAACAGCCCAATGTTCTCCTTGATGTGCCACAGGTTGCTGCTCTTAGGGAGAACACTTGGTGCCATGGGTTCCCTTTTAAATATAATCCAACTCTCACCTGGGGTTCGATGAGGGAGAGTGCGTGGAAGTCCATTGGGGGTATGTGCCAGTCGAACAAGCCGATGTTCTCCTTGATGTGCCATGGGTTGCTGCTCTTAGGGAGGGCAGACATCCGCCTCAAATGAAAACTTACCACCTCATCAGGAATTTTCACCTCACATGGGGTTCATTGAGTGTATGTGCCAATCGAACAGACCAATATACTATTGGGTTATCACGTGGAGGCCTAAAACGGATCACACAACCTCACCTGGGGTTCGATGAGGGAGAGAGCGTGGAAGTTCATTGGAGGTATGCGCCAGTCGAACAGCCCAATGTTCTCCTTGATGTGCCACGGGTTGCTGCTCTTAGGGAGAACACTTGGTGCCATGGGTTCCCTTTAGAAATATAATCCAACTCTCACCTGGGGTTCGATGAGGGAGAGTGCATGGAAGTCCATTGGGGGTATGTTCCAGTCGAACAGCCCAATGTTCTCCTTGATGTGCCACGGGTTGCTGCTCTTAGGAAGCACGCTCATACCCCTCTGTATGCCCCACCGCAGAGCCACTTGCGCTGGAGATTGGTGCAAATTCTTAGCCACCTGATAGTAGACAAGCACGGTAGAGAAATGGTTAGTGGCAAGGCAGAAAAACGGAGTGGTAAAAAGGATGAGAAGAAGATAATGAAGGAGATGCAAGCAAAAGGACGACAAGAAGTAAATTGAAGCTCAACGAGGAGATACGGTTGAATGCGTCTACGGTTCCCCCAGGCCCATTCACTCCGTTTGCTGCTACTCCCGACATGAATCTTGATCTGAAGCTCAACATGTATATGGCTGAATGCGTCTTCGGTTTTCCCAGGCCCATTCACTGACCCCTCACAGTTAGTAGGCTCTCCCCTTGCGCATACCCCCACCACATACCTCTTTAATCAAGGGATGGTCCAGAAGCACAGGAGGCATGAGGGACTCGTCATACACAGGGCGATCCCTGGAACCGAGAGGGGCGTAGGCCTGGTGTGAGAAGGGACGGAGGACGGGGCAGGTAGGCAGTAAGGGGAGGTGCGTCAGCCTGGTGTAAGCATAGAAGGGAAGAAGGGCAGACAAAGGCAACCTATTGTATCTAGCATATTCAATGTGCATGCATCGTAACGCATAAACGGGAGAAACCGGAAAGCAGGGCTCACAGTTTTTGCGCTCATGTACATTCCATGCACATGCTGAATTGAGTCTGACGATATGTATGCGTACATATCTCTACATATATACATACCCAGTGCATGCAGGAATGTTCCACCACTCACTCACCGACACGTGTATTCCCTTATCCCTGCAAAATGCCAGCAAGGCATCCTGCCGCCAGTGAGGATGCGCCTCCACCTGGTTGACAGCTGGCGGGTGCACAGGCTGCCAGCTCAGCAGCTGCTTCAGCCTCGTCACCGACCAATTGGAGACGCCGATGGCCGGGACTAGGCCATGCTCCACTGCTGCCTCCATCTGCTGCCACGTGGCAGCCATCTGCCACGTCAGCACCCTGTCCTCCCTCCTAGGGGGAGAGTGCCAAGGCTTTGCCATTTGCACTGGTACATGAAGCTGAGAGAGGGAACGCGTTTGAAAGGAGGAAAAAAAACAGGGGTGTTTGGAAGGAAGGGAAAAGGGAGCTTGGGAACGAAATGCTGGGCTTGTGTTGACAAATTCGAGGAATGAGAGACTTACCAGAAAGAGGTCCAGATAGGAAAGACGGAGGTCCTGAAGAGTCCTTTGCAGCGCTGGGAGAACGTCAGGAGGGGAGAATTCTGTAGGCCTGAATGACATGGGTGCAGAGCGGTGAGCAGGGGAAGGAAGAGGTTAAGAGGCATGGAAAGAAGTGATGTAGGAGGAACAGTGGAGCTGACTGAGGGACGGATTGTTAGAGAAAGGAGATCGGTGAGGAAAAAAAAGTATAAATTGCCAGAATAACTTGCGAGAATTAGTGTCTACCAGAGCTTGGAGGTTATAAAGAGGTCTTTGCGGTCAATTCCCATCCTTGCCACGCCATCCTCCAATGCTCTCCCAATCTGCTGACATGGCATGGCATGGAAGCCATGTCAGCACAGGTTCACGTGGACACTCATTGGCTGCTGAAACCCTGGACAATGGGGACAGAGTGTTGCAATAAGGAGAGCATGCACGTAGCTCAGGTTTCTCCCTGTACAGGGCAGCACGCACCTCAGGTTCGTTGTTGTACTTTGGAGAGCAGTCAAAGTGACGATAACCAGCCTGACGATAACACGGAGATGAGGTGTAACAAGAAGAATAATATATATAAAAAATCAAGATTGTTTCGTTTCTTGGTTTTGTTTTGTTTAGAAACTAACAAGATGCACACACTTACCTCCAGAGCAGCAGACACAGCCATGTCAGCATCTTCAGGTGCAATCTTCCACGTCCCCAATCCCACAGCCGGAATCTCATCCCCGGTATTGAGTCTAAATTTCGTTACCATGTGCTCCATGCTGTAGCACAAGAACCTAAATCCGCACTGACGCGGATTAAAGCCGACCTTGACAATTGGAGTATTGCACCGCCTAGAATCTGAAGCAGCCTGTAATCAACGCAGCATAAAGAAGCTACTAACCGTGCACGCCAGCAAGCTACCTGGTCATATAACGACCTTCTGCCTCCTCGTTTTCGTCCTCTTCTGAAGCAATCTCTTCAACCACTTGAAATAGTGAGCTAAGATTCGACGAGCAGCAGCAGCTTTCCACGATCGCGACCTTTAAAATGCGTTCCACAGGCTGTACGGCGAAAATTCTGACGCAAATTTCGCACATCCAGAAACTGATTCGTGCAGGCGAAAAGCTGGCGACGCATTGACATGCCAAAAGCCTCGTACTGTGCGACCGATTGAGTGGGATGCGAGGAAAGTTGATCGAGAGAATTCGCAACGATGCCGTGTCCTGATGGGCTCATGGCTCGCACGAGCCGCGCATGCGGATCTCATTAGTGACGACATCACCCCTAAAGAGACATGCACTGAAAAAAGATCACGTTGTGTCATAAGTACTTGAAATCCCGCCACGTCAGGAAGCTAGAAATGCTCAGAAGCGACATTGCGTTGCACAACAATTCCACTCCTTAATAAATATCCCGCTCTAGTACACAATATAATGCAGCAATACACTTCCCAACAATTGCCTTCGGTTATACTACCAAATGACAAGACAAAGCTCTAAGCAGCAAGAAACAGGAACCTGCAAGAAAAATCAAGAGACCAACAATAAGCACTGCAATCAGCACACTAAAAAGCTTCACAACAGCCACGTAATGATTGCAATTGCAATCACTCACCATATGGGTATTGGCAAGCCAGTTTCCATTTTCTCAAACTCCGTCCTGGCAACAACACTCTGCTTCCAAGCTGACTTTGTTCCCACCTATACAATGTGATACATCTAGTACCCTTTATTGCCTCGAATCCGTGTTCGCATGTCCACCTGCAAGAGGTTCACACATGCACAGAGTGAAAAAGGTTCCATTACTCATGCAAACTTGCAATGCATGGCCAAAACAGAAATGCTCATCTATGGCACCCTTTAGCTGCACATTCCCCTCAGCCTCAAATACGGATCCCTATCCCAAATACACTGGCCAGAGATTCCAAAAGAGCACCTCACCAGCCCCCTTCAGCCGCACACTCTCCTATCTTGCACCTCACATACGAAACCCTCCAGATATAATGGCCGGAGATCCCAAAAGAACATCCCAGTGGGCCCCCTTGAACCGCCAAACCCACACTTCACCTGCCTGCCCACTCTTGCATGCACATCGAGCACAGCTTCCTCATCTCAGATCCACTTTCAGCACGGTTTCCTTCCTCACCCCACATCCACTTCTGGCACAAATTCCTTCCTCACCTCAAATCAACCGGACGCCCGTCCGGAACGCACCCGTGCTCCACTCTTCACCTTTCTGCCCTCAACTACCCTCAGCCGCCCTCACCTGAGCTCACCGGCCCTCACCTGCCCTCACTGGCCTTCACCTGCCCTTGAAAATTCGTTCTCGCATCTCACCTGCCCTCTCTTGCACTTGGCGTAAGTTTCCCTCAGCCCCACACACTTGGAGGGGATCTCAGGCGGCTGCTTTCCTGCGCACTCCTGCACCGGCCGACCCTGCTCCTGAAGCACGATAAGCCGGACGGTCAGGATGAAGAGGGTTGTGATAGGATGTACCGGGAATCGAGTTTGTGCGGGAAATAGCGGTGACTGCGACGAAGAGAGCACGTGCGGATTACCAACGAAAGATGGTGATTTTCGTTGACAAGAAAACCGGCGATGGTCACTTTCGCTAAAGCTCTCACTTTTGCAAAAGCTCTCACTTTCGCAAGGCCTCTCACCTTCACGCACGGGCTTTCCGCGACGCACTTGACGAGCTCGTACGCCAGGCCCTTGCAGGACTTGGACATTTCCTCCGGCGAATCTGGAGCTAGTGCAAGTCTACGACAAGGAGGCAAATGCACCTGCAGTGCTGTAACGATGCGCTTACAGCACCTCAAACAAAGGTGTCGCTGGCGAATTCGCGAATTGCTAACTTGGTGTGTTCGAGGCGGTGGCTAGGCAAGTCGCTCTTTTCTAATATGGTTGGCAAAGCAGGGATATCCGAAAGAAATCTGCTTTGATCAGTTTTTAGGGTTGCTTTGGCAAGAAGCATCATTGTACTCGCCAAAGGCTGGCCTGTTCTCTGCAACTTGCATAAGCAACTTTGAGCATCCATATAGAAGTTCGCTGAGAGCTAGAGCTGCGCTACTGTCACCCTCGAACTCATCGTTTTTAGCACACTGCGGTTGGCTTGAATACACCGCCCATTGCTTCTCTGTGCGACGCACTGGAACCAGGGATTGCATTCAGCGACAGGTTCGATGCTTCGCGTCTGAGGTGGCTCGTTTGGTTTTGCTGTTGATTTTTGCCGCTTTGTCCTACATCGGCAGTTGCGAAATTCATTTCTCTTGCTGCCCGCCAGTCACGAACAGCTTTCACACAGCCCAATCTCCCGAGCCTCCGTTGGAGAAGGTTCCGCTGTCGAGTCGCTGTCGCACCTGTCGTAGCAGCGTGCGATACGACACAAGTCAGTCCACCGTAGCGTCCACTCAATGTGTTGACCAGCCAGGGCTGGGTTCCTCCTGACCTGAGTCCTGCTGCGCAGCGCTGCGCCCTCCGATTCAACGAAACGCGTTCCCTGGCGTTTTGCACAGACGACCACAGCACAGACCCACCAACCACACTTCTGCGCACCAAGCGGAACGTTTCTTGCTTCCAGCCGAAGTCGGCAATAGCCCTCGCTTTCCACCCTGCCTGACCTCATCAGGGATGTCAGAATGATTCATTCAGTACGGTTCCAGCAGTACTTTGTTTGGTACAAAAATATGGAGAAGTAATTTCCGTGGTTAAGCATGGTTCTAAGACCTATATGTGAGACGTCGTCAGAGAAGTCGGAACGCCTTCGCAAGGAATGCCTGGGCTGTTCAATCCCGGTTTCCTCCACTTGCTGCTCGCATCCTCAAAATTTCCCTCATCGACGACTCCCCTCTCGAGTTTCGTCTCGTCCACTTTGCCTCAATGCCCCACATGCTGCCCGTGCACCCCACTTTCCATGCTGATTTCCCTCCAAGCCACCGCCTTCGAAATCCAGTTCTGCACATAATCCCCCCAATTCCGCGCCCGTGAACCAATCTCCGCATCTCCCTCCAATCCGAAACCTGCAACCCCGCTCCCCGACCTCATCCTCCGCCCGCTTTGCAAAATCAAGGGTGTTCGCGGAACTCCCAGGGCAAAACGAAGAAGGGGAGGAGCTTTGCCGAGCAGCTACGTACTGTACAGCCTCGACTCCTTCAGAAAGCTGGATAGAGCTGCATCTTGAACGAACAGAGCACTTGAATCCACTTTGGAACAAAAGGATGCACAGGCCTTCAAAACGGTTTAATACGGTGAAATTTGTTCTAAAAGGGACACTCTTCACCACCAGCACCCCCCTGCCACTGTTCCTGGCCACTTATCTCAGCACAGTAGCATCCCTCTATGTTCCGCTTCTTTCTCCTGTCGGAGTTTTGCTGAGCTTGATTTCGAGACAAGGGAGACATGCTTGCTTGAACAAATTAGCCAGGTCCTAACAGGGTCTGTGGCTGACTTCTGTTGCTTTTGGGTTCTCTTTTCATCAGCTAGCTGTGATCTTTCGAATTCAAGGGAGCTTTATCCTCGTGTGAGTTTCCGTTCCTGGTGCACGTTCATTTGTAGTGCTTCTGTGTACGAATCCTAAATCTATTTCGCCAATCCTGGAGTTTCATGCAGGTCCAGAGTAAAGGAGTGCTAGGATTAGAATCTCCATCTCAGGTTTCTCATTAGTTTATTGCGACGCCTGTTAGGGACCTCGTTAACGTGATGTCACAACAGAGAAGAAACGATGGTGACGCTACCTCTCCAAGCTCTAGTCTCGAGCCAATAGGCCAGTCTGACTCTACCAATAGGAACATCTCTGCAGATAGCGTCCGTGACATCCGTGACAGCGTCACAGATAGAGCGCAAATCATGGAGCCAGTCTCTTCCATGGATACCGTCATTGATACTAACAGCGACGCGACTAACGCTAGCAGAAGCAGTCGAAACAGAAGCGGTCGGAGTCAGAGCCTCAGGGGAGCCATCGCCGGCGATAGCAGTAGTTTTCGACTGATAAGTATAGGGAGCGGAAATTCATCTGAGGATTTGACATTATCACCAGGAAGCGAGACAAGAGCAGTCCCGTCGGGTTCGGTGCCTAGAACGGGAGGTGCGGTCGCGTTAGGAGCGGCGAGGCTGATTCGTCAGGCGAGCAGCCAGCGGTTGATGCGGCAGCAGTCCATACGGGTTCGCGATACGGCGTCGGAAGAGGTACGCAGCTGATGAGCTCCTTCTTTACACGTTCTTTCTTGTTGTTTCTTGTCAAAGTTCTGTCACCTTTCCGTTTCTCGCCGTACCTAGTTTTCTCTCTTCGTTTCTTTCTTTATGCCGTTTTCTTTATGCTGGAAGAACGCCAGAGCAACTGGGCCTATTCCCGTCCCATCGTGCTACTCGACACGCTCTGGAACCTCATCTTCTTGCTCTGTCCTGCTCTGTCTTCTCTCTCTGCTGCAGTTGGAAGAGCGCCAGAGCAACTGGGCCTATTCCCGTCCCATCGTGCTCCTCGACACGCTCTGGAACCTCATCTTCGTTTCTCGTCGCCATCGCGACGCTCTCCGTGAGCCGCAACCACAAGGAGGAACCGGCCGCTCCGCTGGGCGTGTGGCTCATGGGGTACTCGGCGCAGTGCATCATCCACATCGTCTGCGTGCTCGTGGAGTTCGACCGCCGGCAGCAAGGCGGAGCGGAGGAGCGCAGGAGCGACCGGAGCCGGGCGAGGAGGAGCCGCGGAGCGAGCAGGAGCAGCAGACGAGGGCTCCGCGGGTTGCGGAGCGCGAGCGGAGGAGGAGGGAGGGGAGGCAGGGGAGGGGGAGCAGGGGGGAGTGGGAGTTCGGGGGATATTCGAGAGGGGTTGTTGCAAAGAGGGAGCGATGACGAGGAGCAGGAAGCGGAGGGGAGTACGGGGGAGCAGCGGATAGAAGATGATCGGATTGACAGGTACTGCTGGCGAACGCATATGTGGCCTTTTCGAGGCGCGACGCAAAAGTAACGGCGATGTTATCTTTGTGATCATTGTCGTCGTCGGTCGTCGGTCGTCGCTCTTCGGTCGTCGGTCGTCGCTTTGCTTGATGGTACCAGTGCAACACCCAGCAACTCAGTGCCGGGATCTTGGACTGTTCTTCTTGCCTGTGTGTGTGCTCGCAGCATTGCGAAGCAAATCGAGTCGGCGAACACCGTCTTTTCGTTCCTCTGGTGGTCCGTCGGGTTCGCGTGGATCATCTCCACATTCGACGACACCTTCGAAGACGCGCCCATTCTTTCCTGGTAAAACTTTCTCAGACGCTCCCATTCTTTCCTGATGGTTTTGCATCTAGACGCTCCCATATGCGGCGTCTTTGTGGTGGTGATTCACGGCATAAGCCGTTTTAAATCCACCGTTTTTCCAAATCACAGTCCGCAGGGTGTGGATGTCATTTCTTGCTCTCTCATTCTCGACGTCGTTGCGGTGGTGATTCACGCGACATAACATTTCAAATTCCACCGTTTCCCCGGCAACCCAATTCGCAGGGTGTGCATGTCGTTTCTGGCGTTCGACGTGTTTTTTCGTCATCTTCTGCATCGCGCTCGCGTGTCTGGTGGGCATCGCCGTGTGCTGCTGCCTGCCCTGCATCATCGCGGTTCTCTATGCCATGGGCGAACAGGAAGGTGCCACGAACGAGCAGATTCAGTCCCTCCCGCAGTTCAAGTTCCGCCGGCGAGGCTCTCCGCCAAGCAGCAGCCGCCCGCTCACCGCGTCCGCCGCCCTTTCCGCCATCACGGAGGCGCTAGGCGTTGCGACCACCAGCAGCAGCACCACCACCAACGCCAGCAGCAGTAGTGGGCTAAATAGCAGTGCGGCGAAGGGTAGCAGCTGTGATGATGGAAACAGCAGTGGTGATACGGGGGGCAGCAGTGGAAAGGGAACGGCCAGTGCGGGTGCCGAGGGGAGGGATGAGGTTCGGGTGACGATCGACGAGCCGGCAGGGGGCGTTATGACGCAAGTGGGAGGGTCGAGCCAGCCGCCGCGGGAGAGAGAAGTGGCAGACGATGATGCGGTACGTTGATACCCGTTGCTGTGGGCGGGGATTCGGTCTGTTGGGGATGGGGTGGGTTGGGGATGGAATGGGTTGGGGATGAAGTGGGTTGGGGATGGGGTGGGTTGGCACTTCCTTCTCAGCTCCCTTTGCTGTATCTCCTCTCGCCATTCTTCCCCCAACCCTTCCTCCCCCCTCCCCTTCACACTCTTTTCTTGGCGATTCCATTTTTGCACCACGTTCAGAGTCTCTGAATGTGTTCTTGAGTTTCCCATCCTCAGTTTCCACCATTGCGTTATCCTCTCTCCCTTCTCGCTCTTAGCTCCTCCCAGTTGTGATGCACAGTTGTCCGCCTTTTCTCTCTTCCCAGAATCGCCGCATCTGCCTGGGAGCACATGGGGACGCAGTGCTGGTGCTGCTCAGACCCATTACCCTTCCCCTCATGTTTTCCTCATCCTCTCCCTTCTCATCCTCCCATCCCTCCCATCTTCCCATCCTCTCATCCTCGCAGGAGTGCTGCATCTGCCTGGGGCCATACGAGGACGCAGTGCTGCTGAGGGAGCTGCCCTGCTCACACCACTTCCAACTCCGCCTGCGTTGACAAGTGGTTGCGCACCCGCCCCACCTGCCCCCTTTGCAAATACGACATCACTGCCCCGCCCAGCGCTGCTACTAGCAGCAGTGGGAGCAGTGGTAGTGCCGGTAGCAGCAGCAGCAGCAACACTGAAAGCAGCAGCAGTGGCAGCGGCAGTGGCAGCAACAGTACCAGTGGTAGCACTGCAAACAGCAGCAGTAGAGACAACAGTGATGCCAGCCGTGCAAGCGGTAGTGGAAACAACAATGCTTCGACTTTCACTCCTGCTTGACCAACTGCCATTGTCCTGCTGCACAACAGCCAACCAGCCTGTGGCCATTCCGTCAATGGCTCAGCACAGTATTGTACTAAACGGCTGGGCGAAAGCATGACCTGGGTTATGACTCATCAGTCATGCCTGCTCTGGAGTCTGCATTTCTGCTGTGCTGGTTACCGCCTACTGCAGTCTGCGGTGCTGGTGCCGAGTTGAAAGACCTGCAAGGTGCCTGTCTACCACCAGCAGCAGGCGTTTGAATTGTAACAAGTGCCTCTTTTTTTCTTGTTTAACCTGGGGGTGTGAAGCAGAAGCTTAGCAGTGGAGGCTGCTTTCTGGTGTACAGTACAGAGCACAGCCTATGGTCTCGGCCATGCCTGATTACGCTAATTAAGGCGGCTGCTTCAGTCAGCAATTTGCTGACTTGCGGAGGATACGGAGTGCGAATTGTTTGAAGTCAAATTGAGCGCGTTAGGGCATTGTTCCCTGTCTTCCGTATACCGTAGATAAAGTTGCCACCGCTGAACAATGTACGGGTTGTGCGTCAGATCTGACATGCTTTACATAGGTTCCGTACAGTGTATCAGTCCACCACTACAGTGCAGGTGTAAATCCTAATTTGTTTTGCTGATAATTTTGCAATTTACCTGGTCAATCTCTGTTTCATATGGGGTGCGATCTCGAAACGGTGTTTTCTTCAGGGTGTAGCGGAGTCAGATTGCTGTACGGTGGTGCCGACATACCCTAGGTGGTACTGTCAGTCAGTTAGGGGACTGTCTCAATAAACTCGCAGACATATCGGAGCACGTTATATTGGGCATTTGGCGTCGTCTTTGTAAAATATCGACATCCTTTCGAATAAGCAACCGCCTGTTTGCGCTTGCGTTTATTTTCGCGTGTCGTCGTTAGTCGTAGCTTGTCGCTCGGCTTGTCGTTAAAACGTCTCAGGCGTTCGTCGCAGCGCCTGGAAACTTCGTACTCTTGCGACAGTCGTGAGGCATGTCTGCGAACGGGAAGAAGGAAGCGCGCCGATGGGCCGTCCGACCTGGCGGACGCGGCGTCGGGGATCTCGAGGGACGTTCCCGATCCGCCTGGATTCAACCGAAACGCGGCAGAACTGGTGAGCGAGTAACTGCCCGTAACTGTAATCTGGTAACCGGATGCGTGTAACCGTTCCGAGACGGTCAGAATTCGCGATAGGCCCATGATCCGCTTTGGCTCTGATATAGACTCATGCGCCCGTTAAGTGCTTCCGTCTCGTGCAGGTTCTAGGTATTCACTGTTATTGTAGGTGGTGCATGTACTCGT